CCACAACCACAACCAAACCAACAACAACAACAACACCAACAACACCAACAACACCAACAACACCAGCAGCAACAACAACAACAGCAACAACACCACCACCACCAACAACAACAACAGCAGAGCAAGAAAGCAAACCACACACAACACACAACAAACAACAAACACAACAAACAACAAACAACAAACAACAATCGACAAACAGCAAACAAGCCACAAACAACAAGCAACAAACAAACAACAAACCACAAACAACAAACAACAGACAACAAACAACAAGCAACAAACAACAAGCAACAATCGACAAACAGCAAACAAGCAACAGCAACAACAGCAACAACAGCAACACCAGCAACAACAGCAACAACAACAACAACACCAACAACACCAACAACACCAACAACACCAACACCAACAACACCAACAACACCAACAACACCAACAACACCAACAACACCAGCAACAACAACAACGACGGCGACGACCACGACAAGAAGAAGAAGAATAAGAAGAAGAATAAGAACAACAACAACAACAACAGCAGCAGCAGCAGCAACCACAACAACCACAACAACCACAACAACCACAACAACCACAACCACCACAACCGCCACAACCACCACAACCACCACAACCACCACAACCGCCACAGCCACCACAACCGCCACAACCACCACAACCACCACAACCACCACAACCGCCACAGCCACCACAACCACCACAACCGCCACAGCCACCACAACCAGCACAGCCACCACAACCAGCACCACCACCACAACCACCACCACAACCACCACCACAACCACCACCACCACCACCACCACCACCACAACCACCACAACCACCGCAACCATCACAACCACAACAACCACCACAACCACCACAACCGCACCAACCACAACAACCACAACAACCACAACAACCACAACAACCACGACAACCACAACCACCACAACAACCACAACAACCACAACAACCGCAACAACCACAACAACCACGACAACCACAACCACCACAACCACCACAACCACCACAACCACCGCAACCACCACAACAACCACAACAACCACATCAACCACAACAACCACAACCGCCACAATCACTACAACCACCACAACCACCACAACCACCACAACCACCACCACAACCACCACCACCACCACCACCACCACAAGCACCACCACCACCACAACCACCGCAACCATCACAACCACAACAACCACCACAACCACAACAACCACAACAACCACGACAACCAGCACAACCACGACAACCACAACAACCACGACAACCACAACAACGACGACAACGACGACAGCCACAACGACGACAACCGCAACAGCGACAACCACAACGACAACCGCAACAACAACCAGAACGACAACCACAACGACAACCACAACGGCAACGACAACGGCAACGACAACGGCAACGACAACGGCAACGACAACGGCAACGACAACGGCAACGGCAACGACAACGGCAACGACAACGGCAACGGCAACGGCAATGGCAACAGCAACGAGAACGACAACGACAACGGCAACGGCAACGGCAACGAGAACGACAACGAGGACGACGACGACGACAACAACAACCACAACCACAACCACAACCGCAACTACAACAACCACAACAACCACGACAACCACGACAACCACGACAACCACGACAACCACGGCAACCACAGCAACCGCAACAACCACAACATCCACAACAACCACAACAGCCACAGCCAACCAAACAAACAAACAACCAATGAAAGAATCCAAGGACTCAAGTCACACCAAGCACAAACCGAAGTATGTAAAGTGGCGGAGTGTGAGCGAGTGAGTGGGAGTGGTGAGTGAATGGAGAGAGGCGGGAGGCAGGAGGAGGATGCAGCGGCGGCTGGACGACGAGCGGTAAAAGGTAAGAGCCTCACACAGTGGTGTATGGAGTAACAATAAGAAGAAGCGCACGAATAGCAAGACGAAGAAGAGGAAGACGAACAAGAAGAGAATTAATGCCCAGAAGGGCAAGACGAGCAAGAAGAACAAGAAGAAGAAGGAGGTACGGCGTGCGCAAAGGCAAAAGCTTCGGCCTCACTTCTTGTTTTTGGCGCAGGTGCGAGCTCCAAGCCAGACGCGCAGGAGGTGCCGTCGCCAGAGGTGCTGCCGATCCCTGACAAGGAGCCAAATGAGGGAGCGGCTTTGCCGCAGACCCATTGTGGGGTGAAAGCAGAAAAGACCCAGGCATGCACGGTTTCCTTTGTTTCGCGTTCCCTACAGTCCGACTCCTGCGCAAATCTGCAAAGCTTTCTCGACAAAACAACAATCTTCATATTGTCCAACCAAACGCGCGGGTGAACTGTGTGGCCTCTTCAGTGCAGCGGGCACACCTTTGTTTGTACAGGCATCCTTTCACACCCATGACCATGAAACGCCCGGGGCGCGGGGCGAAGGAATGTCGGCAAGGCACAAGGCTGACCTTTTCCGTCAGGTCCTTTCCCCTTTCCAACCTCGAATCCAGCCGAAGCGAAAGCGGCGAAGAGCCTCGGCCGATCGGCCGAGGTGTCGGAGCTTCTGGAGGCCTCGGGGTCAGTGGCTGCGGGGAAGATGCAGCTGCTGCTGGCCCGCGCCGCCGAGAATCCCGAGGCGAGCGGAGGGTTGCGTGGTTGACCCCTTTTTGGGCGCCGCCAAGTCTTTTCTTTGCTGTCACCTTTTTGGTGTGGCTTGCTAAGAAGAACCATCATGAAGCCAACCAGCCAGCCGGCCCCCAGCTACAACCAACCGGCCACAGCCCCACTTCAGGTTGGTCTGAAGCGAAACCAGGGACATGATATACACAGTTATTTGGTTCGACCAGTAGGGAACCAACAAGAAATGTAGACACATCACGAAATTTCGCTCGTCGAGAGGGGGGGGGGTGCAGAATGTGGACGGGGTCCCAATTTGGAGAAGCGGTGACACCCTGTTCTGGCCGTTTGCAAACATGGTCTATGTTTGCTTTTTGCCGAAAAGCGAAAACTATGGAGGATACCCAGCCAGTGGGATCCACAACCTTGTGCCCTTCCTTGCTTCACACAGGCTTGGCAACCACACACGACTGTTGCATGGAAGGCTCCTCAAAAGATATATGTTTTTTTGGAGGGAACCAAAAGAGCAAAGGACAGACCCACATGTTGGCCAAGAAGAACACTACACTCGGGGGTGCATGATTTCATGTTAAATGGGTGGGATTTGGACCAGTGATGTCACACCGAAACCCAAACCTAACATTGGACATCAAGAAAGCTATTCAAAAGAAAGTGGTCGGTCACCAGTATGGATCTTCAGATTGGCTTCCTTGTGTCAGAGCCCTTTGTTTGGTGGTTTGGAGATTTGAACCGGTTCTTGTAGAGGGTAACTGGGAAAACACCCCTTAACCACCAAAGCACCAATACAAACCACGAATTAGAGGGAAGCAGACCCTACACTTCACAACCAACCAGCACGTGTTAAACACTTTGATTATTTATCGTGGACATACCGTGGATGGACAAATTCCATTTCGCACCGCTTCGAAACCATGGTTGAAACTCGTGTTTGCGGTTCTTTTTGCAGGGGGAAGCGTACCATTCCAGCAAGCTGTTGGGCGCGGAAACTCGTGTTTTTCGTTAAAACAGCAGAGGGAATCGGATCGTTGCCGGAACTGTTCGGTGCGGAATCTTGTGCTTGTCGGTAAACCACCAGTGGGATCCGATCATTCCCGCACAGCTGTGCGGAGGGTTGTCGTCCATCCACATTGAACTCGTGTTTGCTGTGATCGGCTCATTCCCGAAGAGCTGTGCGGAGGGTTTGCGCCCATCCGCATTGACCAGCTTACAGTGGGGATCGACTCATTTTGGTTGCTTTGGCCAAACAAATAGATGGCCTTTCGCAGATAATTTACTCATCTACCAGGGAAACCCATCTATTTCCCCCCAAAATCTTTAACTACTTTCTGGGTGATTATCAGATTTGGGGGGGGGTTAGGTTTGGGGGCGTTTTTCCTTGTTTTTTCATGGCCCCCCCACATCCAACGCATGCCTCGCGCCGGGCGACGCCTCCGTGAGGTGCGGCCGCAGGTGCTGCAGGCCCTGGCGCGCACCGAGCAGACGGGGCGCCTGGCACCTTGGAAGCAGCGCCGCTGTTGGCCGGGGAAGGCAGGGTACACAAAACGGACTGGAGGCCACGGGGCGCGTTTTTTTGGGGTAGTTCTTTTTTTTTTTGGTTGTTGTTGTGTTTTTTTTTTTGGGGGGGGGGGTCCTTTTTGTTTTGGTGTTTTTTTTTTGGTCTTTTTGTTTGGCTTTTTGTGTCGTGGCTAGGATAGGTTTGGAGTTTTGGTGGCCGTTTTGAACTTCCAAAGGCGATCGTTTTCATGGACACTGCCGGTAAGTTGCAACTATTTGTAGGGACATCCAGTGAACCCGTGTTTTGGTTGTGGTTTGGAACCCGTGTTTTGGTTGTGGTTTGGATTGGTTTGGATTTGGGATTTGACCCCTTGCTGGTAGACTCTCAAAATGGGTGGTTTGGATTGGATGGTTTGGATTGGTTTGGTTTGCTTGGATTTGTTTGACTTGGTTTGGGTTTGGATTTGCCCGTGGCCCTTTAGAGCGAAAATTGGAACCAGGTCACCCTTGGTTGGTTCGGGTTTGGATTTGAGCCCGCGGCCCTTTAGAAGGAAAATTGGAGCCAGGTCGCCCTTAGTCGGTGGTTTGGGTTGGTTTTGGATTTGCACCTCTGGTTTTTGATGGGAAAATGGGCTTATCCACCCAACCTGCGCACCTCGCCAATCCAAACCGCTCGTTTAGAGCTGGGCGACGTGGACAAGGTGCGGATGAATAAGTCCGTTTAGAGTCAAGCTCAACAGGGTCTTCTTTCCCCGCTGATTACCCCAAGCCCGTTCCCTTGGCTGTGGTTTCGCTGGATAGTAGGTAGGGACAGTGGGAATCTCGTTAATCCATTCATGCGCGTCACTAATTAGATGACGAGGCATTTGGCTACCTTAAGAGAGTCATAGTTACTCCCGCCGTTTACCCCGCGCTTGTTTGAATTTCATCACTTTGACATTCAGAGCACTGGGCAGAAATCACATTGGGGGGTAGGGCCAATGCACACAACCACCGGGGCACCGGAAAAGAAGATCAGGAGCCTGTACGAACATGGCCGCCACCAGAGGCATAGGCGTCCTTTTCAGGTTAGCTTGACTAGAAATAGATGGGTTCCACCGGTTTAGATGGGTTTCATTCCAGTTACCAGGGCCGTCCATGTTCCAAAAAGGAGGCATGGCCAGAGGGTTGTCCTCCAAACAGAAACTGTGGATGGTTGCGAAATCCAGATCCCGCACCACCTAAGAAAGCCTGGTTTCTGATGCTTTCCCTGTAAATACCAACGAACGGCCAACGTAAATACCAACATTTACGGTGGTTTCAACCATGGTTTCATTTCGTGGTGCGAGAGGATTTCGCGTCACCATCCACAGAATGTCGTCCAAACCAGGACTCCGAAAGGTTTGCTGGGGAGAGGTTGCCAACTTTGGGGCTGGGTTTCTTGGGCGACGTGCGATCCAAGTCGAGCCAGATGTGAAGGGCTTTTCACGAGCCACGTTTTTTGTTTTGTTTCATTGTACCAGGGCTCCTTAAAAGATATTTTCTTCCGCATTTGAAACATTGCTTTTTCCACCAAAATAAAGGGACACGACAATTTACAAGGCAATGTTCACGTGTATAATGTAAGGATCCCTGTGTACCAACCAGACCCAGGTGGCTTTTACGGGAAGCCAAGCACTGGGTTGTTTAAACAGGGTGACAAACTATGGACTGAGACCATTTTTGGGGAAGCCAGTTCCTTATTGAATTCATCCTACCTCTGATTTTGCTGAGCGATGGTGTGGAGGGTACTGTTTTTGGGCTGATTCTAAAGGGGGACGGAAAGGAAAGGACGCACGTTTTGCAGTTTTGAGACACAGGTCAGGGATTTAAACCCAGCATTTGCTGGTTCCAACTCAGACCAAGCCAGGTGGACAAAAATCAGCCTCTTTGAAAGCTGCCCCAATTGGGTCTATGGACCTCAAATCGCTTTCGACTCCGAGCTCGAAACACCGGGGCTGAGAACCAACCCCCCAATCCCCAAGAAGTATCGACCCCCGCAAAATTCGCAAAGCGCCTTCCGTTGAAACCAAAGAAACTGGAGTCCGATCTGACCCCCAAAGCGCCTTCCGTTGAAGCCCAAAAAAAATGAGCCCGAGCTGAACCCCCAAGCAACCTTCAGTTGAAACCGAGCAAAATGAGTCCGAGCTGAGAACCGCTTCGTGGAGAACCAGGGCCCCGAGATGCTGGTGGAGTGGCTGGCGGATCTCTGCCTGGCGCCCGCCTGCCTCAGAGTCTTGGCCAAGGTGCCGCTCCACCCGAAGAAGCGGGAGGACGGGACGGTGAAAGCGGGGTGGTTTTGGGGAGGTCCACGCAAAAAAGCGGGGGTTCTTGGGGGCGTCATGTGTTTGAGGTCGGATCCCCCGCACAATAAATAAGCAAATAAATAGATGAAAAAATTGGAAAATAAATAAATAAATATATATATATATATATATGTATATATATATATTAAATATACATATATGGTGGTTTTCCCTGTTTGGTTCTTAATTGAAACTGGACCAAAAGGGGGTCCACGACAAAAAACATAATTACACACTTGATCCACCCGCGTGCCAAAGGCAGATCGATCTGTTGACCTTTTAGCTTTTCTTTCGGGCAACCTTTTTTGGTGGCCCGAAAAGGTGATCACCTTTATCTTCTAGGTCCAAGATGGACTGAAACAGTGAAGGTGTTGGCAAGTTCTCGCTTGCTTACTTTTGGGCGGGTTCCCTTGTTAGTCCAACTTTTGTTGTTTTTTTTAGCCACCTTTTCCCCACGCCCTCTTGTGTTAAGCCCGACCCTTCCCCTTGAAAAACAATCAAAATTGAGGTGCTTGCAAACGGTGTATATATACACACATATATATGGTACCCCCCCTGGAATACTCAGGTTTTTGGCCATTTTTGACATTTTCGCTGTAAAAATGCATGCAAAACACACGTTCCAGCTTCTAAAAATTAGGCTCCAAAAATGCACTCCGTTTTAGACTTAAATTCTAGCATCGGTACTTAGGTCAATCCAGGATGTGCTAGCACGTGCTAGCACATCCCGGATTGAAGATTGAAGATTGAAGATTCTGAGACCACTTGTTCTGGAAATCTTCAATCCATCCTTAGGACAAACTGATATGTGCTAGCACGTGCTAGCACATCCCGGACTGAAGATTGAAGATTGAAGATTCTCTGACAACTCTCTCTGGGATTCTTCAATCTTCAATCTTCAATCCAAGATGTGCTAGCACGTGCTAGCACATATCAGTTTGTCCTAAGGATTGAAGACTTCCAGAACAAGTGGCCCGAGAATCTTCAATCTTCAATCTTCAATCCAGGATGTGCTAGCACGTGCTAGCACATCCTGGATTGCCCTAAGTACATATTTGGAGAATTTCAGAAAGAGTTGTCAGATAATCTTCAATCTTCAGATCCTGGATTGCCCTAAGTGCAGAGTTGAAGAATCTAAAAGGCATACCCGGAGTGCACGTTGTCAGAATCAAATTGTGGATGTGCACTTGCACTGCCAAGCACCTGCATTTGGCCAGGGGGAAAAATGTTGTTGACATCTTTACAGGTTTTTTGGTGGCCAGGATGGAAGATTCCCAATAGAAAATATAGTAGATCTTCAATCTTCAATGCAGGGGGCAAAACCTTAATGAGTCTAGAACAAACTGTCAAGTTTTTAGGGGAGCTATCTTCTCCCGTTGATTTTTGAAATCCACAAGAAGCTCCAAACGAGTAAACTTGAATTTGGTTTGAACTCGAAAGCGTTTTAAACTGGATATCCTTCCCTTACTTGAATTTCAATACTTGTTATTGGCGATGATGGAACCAAGTTAGACAAGCAACACACACACACATGGGATAGTTGCTTTGCAACATATGTTTCAATTAGACTGAACTGGCATGTACATGGAATTCTGCACAACACTCGAGTTAACATGAAAATGCAACTGCGCAAGGACATGAAGTAGGAATGAGTTCCTTTTCCCCAAGTTGATGATTTGCTGAATTTCGCTGCCAAACCGGGAGTGCACGTTGTCAGAATCAAATTGTGGATGTGCACTGGCACTGCCTGCATTTGGCCAGGGGGCAAACATGTTGTTGACATCTTTACAGGTTTTGTGTGGACTTGAGGGCTGGCCAGGATTGAAGATTCTCAATTCTCAATAGAAAATATAGTAGATCTTCAATCTTTAATGCAGGGGGCAAAACCTTAATGAGTCTAGAACAAACTGTCAAGTTTTTAGGGGACCAGGATTGAGGATGTTCTAGACATATGTTTGTGGAATCTTGTATACTCGATCTTCGATCTAAGGCAACACGATCTGAGCAAATGCTGAAAATCACTGCGTTTTACAGCATTTATGCCAATGATAAGATCTATGATTGAAAGCACGTTCCAGGCATTGGCTTGGCTTAGTTCTTGATTGGTTCAAACCACATGGAGTTCGATAAGGACAATAGCCATCTTCTCCAGTTGATTTTTGAAATGCGCAATAAACTCCAAACGAGTAAACTTGAATTTGGATTGAACTCGAAAGCGTTTTAAACTGGATATCCTTCCCTTACTTGAATTTCAATACTTGTTATTGGCGATGATTGAACCAAGTTAAACAAGCAACACACACATGGGATAGTTGCTTTGCAACATATGTTTCAAACAGATTGAGCTAGCATGTACATGGAATTCTGCACAACACTCGAGTTAACATGAAAATGCAAATGCGCCAGGACATGAAGTAGGAATGAGTTCCTTTTCCCCAAGTTGATGATTTGCTGAATTTCGCAGCCAAACAAAAATTGGAAACACACAATAGTAGAGCTGCTACAGGCGCATTGAGGCTGCCAAAGCATACTTCGCGCACTACTCTTGTACTGGACAGTTGTGCTTTTTGAGCTGGAGCTGCCAACGTGATCTTTGCATACTCCAATGTGACTTTAAGTGCACTTCGCGCACGCCAATGTGACGGTCACACAACTCGCAACTCCTTCAACGTTGAGCTTAACTTCTGCTTGGTTGGAATTTGCATGGAGTTGAGCGTCCGGTCAGTTCATTCCAGAGTCGCAAGGAATTTGTCACCCCCCGTCTGGCAAAAAAAAACCTCAGCTCTGGCCCAAAACCTGAGTATTTCAAGGGGGGGGTAGCATATATATATATAGATGTATGTGTGTGTGTGTCTTTTGACTGATTGATTGATTGATTGATTCGTTGGTTGGTTGGTTGGTTGATTGATTGATTGGTTGGTTGTTTGTTTGTTTGTTTGTGTGTGTGTGTGTGTTTGTGTGTTTGTGTGTTTGTGTGTTTGTGTGTTTGTGTGTTTGTGTGTTTCTTTGTTTGTTTGTTCGTTTGTTTGTTTGTTTGTTTGTTTGTTTGTTTGCGTGTTTGTTTGTTTGCTTGCTTGCTTGCTTGCTTGCTTGTTGGTTTGTTTGTTTGTTTGTTTGTTTGTTTGTTTGTTTGTTTGTTTGTGTGTTTGTTTGTTTGTTTGTTTGTTTGTGTTTTTGTTTGTTTGCTTGTTTGTTTGTTTGTTTGTTTGTTTGTTTGATTGGTTGCTTGTTTGTTTGCTTGCTTGTTGTTTCGCTTGTTTGTTTGTTTGTTTGTTTGTTTGTTTTCGCGTTTGTTTGGTTGTTTGTTTGTGTGTTTGTGTGTTTGCTTGTTTGTGTGTTTGCTTGTTTGTGTGTTTGTTTTTTGTTTGTTTGTTTGTTTGTTTGTTTGTTTGTGTGTTTGTTTGTTTGTTTGTTTGTTTGTTTGTTTGTTTGTTTGATTGATTGATTGATTGTTTGTTTGTTTGTTTGTGTGTTTGTTTGTTGATTGCTTGATTGTTTGATTGTTTGTGTGTTTGTGTGTTTGTTTGTTTGTGTGTTTGTGTGTCTGTGTGTTTGTGTTTGTGTGTTTGTGTGTTGTGTGTTTGTGTGTTTGTGTGTTGTGTGTTTGTGTGTTTGTGTGTTTTTGTGTGTTTTTTTTGTTTGTTTGTTTGTTTGTTTCTTTGTCTCTTTGTCTCTTTGTTTGGTTGATTGTTTGTCCATTTTCAGACACCAGCCACTCCTTGTGTGTTTTTTTCGGTGTGTTTGTGTGCGTTTTTGCGTTTTTGGGTGTTTTTTTTGGGGGCGGCCCTGGGTTTGGGGGGGGGTCTTGCGGTTGTCGGATCAAACAGGAGCTGGGCTTGTGGGCTGCTGTGACCTCCCCGCAGCTCGCCAAGCTGCCGGAGGCGGAGAGGTGCCGCAGCGCGCCGGCGGAGACATCGGAGGTTTTTTTTTTGGAGCTGTTGGGCTGTTGGTGTTGCTTTTGGGTTGTGGGGTTGTTGGGCTGTGGGCCTAGGGATGTTCCCTTAAAGGAAATCATAGGGAGTGCTGTGTTCCCTTCAAACCATAGGATGGATGCGCACCAACAACCGATCTGGTCACCGATTCGGGGGGTATAACGAGCGCCAGCCATGAAAAAGGCCCGTTGCTTGGGGATGCGGTGGTGTTTTTCTTGCCATCGGTTCGATAGGCAGGGAATGAGTTGGACTGTCCGCGATAAAAGCAGGATCCATCTGATTTGGTGTCCTTTGTTCGGGAATCCCCCTTCCGGTTCATTCCATTCCCAACACTAGGAAGGTCGTATTAACCTCCCTCCAAACATAGCGCCCGTGGGAGGGTACCCGCAAAACTTTCCTCGTGGGGGTACCCTGTGCCAGCTGCCATGTTAGTGGGAGGGAGGGTAGGTCTTTCTCACGGGCCTGACCCTTTTTGGTTTCCTTTCCATGGCCCATGTTCAGTGGCCCCGGAGGTTATTTGAGCCCCTTCCGTTAACTTGAGAGTAATCATGATGTCCATCAAAGGGTCTGCCAAAGACCTGCTGGACATATGGCCGTGGCTCAAAAAACCGGTACCAAAATGGAACCCTAGTAAGTGGAAACATGGACCAAAACCCGCGTAACCCCTCCTCTTTAATTTTGAGCCACAGCCATATGTCACGCTGCCTCTTGGCGGCTTGGACGGATTTGGATTTGGAGTTGACCGCCCAGCTTCCAAACCACCGAGCTCCAAGACACCCAACTGGAGCAAAGCGGAGTGATGGCACCCGCCGCCCACACCAACTCACGAACGATTGAGCTGCTTCCGAAGATCGTGGCTTTTGCGGGTCGTGTGTTTCTTTCCTTTCTTTTCTCCCATTGGCCCTCTAAAATTCAAGTCCTAGTCCAATCCACACATCCAAGCCGCCAAGTAAGGCTCACCACCGTGGTGGACAGTTTCGGGTGCCCAAAGTTAAGAGTCGTGCACCGTTTTAAGGATTATTGAGACTCCAGGTATCAAGATGGTTGTGAAAGTTTGTGAAAGTTTGTGGAGGGCGCACATCTCACCGAGGGAATTGGGGACACTGCTGTTAGTCCCCGTAAAGTCTATGGTTGGAACCTACCTACTAAGTTACTACGAGCGAGAGAGAACCTACTTTCTAAGTAGCTTGAACACCCAAGTGTCCTTTGTTGGGATGGGCTGAACAGCTCATCAAATCAAGGACAAGTTAAGGGCAACTCAGTTTTTGAACATGTGTCCATGTCACGATGTTGCACTTGGGGAAACACATCCGGTCTTTTACGCCGACCCAGAACAGTTGTCCATCTGAGACGGGTCCGGCTTGTATCTTGTCTTGGTTTTGACCTTCTCCGTGATTGGAAGGAACGGGTCATTTCACTTTCCATTTTTAACCAAGTCTTGGAGAATGACATTTCTCCACTTGATGTTTCCGCCTTTTTGACGAAACAAAGCAATCAAGGTCAAAAGGTGGCTTGACATACTCGTGTACCCTCATTCCAACCCCAAAAAGTTGACGTTGGCCATACTCCCCATTGGAGACGCTTTCGAACAAGTTGGAACGAACATGCGGGGGAAAAAGGACAGTGAACGCATGGTTTTTACACACTCCAAGCTGGGAAAACACCGTTTACTCCCCCCCTGGAGAAAACGTTCCCCCCCCCCAACCCCCAACCCCCCAACCCCCCAACCCCAACCCCCCAACCCCCCCAACCCCCCCAACCCCCCCAACCCCACCGCCCCCCACCCCCCCCACCCCGCCTCCCCCTCTTCTGTGCCAAGGTTTGTGGGCCAAGACCCGGTCCCGGGAGCCCCCAGCACCTCGGAAGGATGAGGATCGGTGGCAGGGCTCCTTAAAAGATACCTCCATGTTGCGAAACCATTTTGACACAGGTGGCTTTTTCAACACCAGAATAAAGGGGTTCACCACCACTTACAAGTTGCAATGTTCAGGTGTTTTTCATGTAAGGATCCCTGTTTATGTCTGATCGGCTAGGTAAAAAAAAAAACGAGAACCAGCCTTTGGGTCATCCTCCTCCACGCAAAAGGGCGGGGGCGGGGGTAAGGGTGTGTGCATAGGTGTCCGTTTTGGTGGCTGGAAAAATAGAGGGCGATTCCTGGTTTGCCTGGTGGTTTAATCATCTACCAGGGGCCATCTATTTCCCTAAAAGCACACCTATGGGCGTGTGTGTGTGTGTGTGTGTGCGGAGTGGCAGAGAACCCTGCCACCAAAACCTTTTTCCGTTGCAGCAGGGGGACACAGCACTTCACTGGGACTGTGTCCAACGAAGCTACCAGTGAAGTGGGATATCCAGCTTGGCCAGCTGGACGTACCTGCATCGGTGATTCTGAAAGTCTATTTGGCCCCGTGGTTGCGGCGCTGTTTGTGCTTCTTGTTCTTTCGGGTAACGTTTTCGCCTCTAGAGAGAAGCCAAGTGAATGCAAGCCGAACTCAGCCGAGACTCATCAGTTGTACTCGAGACTCATCAGTTGTACTCGAAAGATTAGCACTCTCCATCTGGAGTTTAAGTGTGTACACCCCATTCGTGGGGAATCCTCGGGTGTACCCATTGTGTGACCCCGGGCCGGCTCTGTCGGAAAATTTGACCTCAACGTGCTTATCATAGAACAGCGGAATTTCACATTTAACCAGGAACGAGGTTTCACTAAAGGGAAGAAAGCCGTCAGATCATAGCGACGTCTCACTCGGTCTACTGTTGGCTGCTGGCTTGATCTTGCATGGACTTGCATACATCGCATGAGCGCTACGTCGACAATCGTTTCATTCTCCTTCGAGATTCAGCCCCACACTCGCCCGTGCTCATGAATTTTCTTTCCCTGGAATTTTATCGCCCACCAGTGATGCTCGAGGTTCAACATGATGACAAAGTGCTGGGTTATCGATGTGACTCTTCCTCCCGGACTATTACACCACAGCTACCTGATCATCCCTCCCAAATCAAAGGAATTCGGAGTGCCAATGATCAGATGTTTACTTATTCTTCTTGGTCTTCTCACTCGTGGCTCATCATACGCGGTGCACAACCGGCGGTTCAGCAGCAGCATGGGCTCGACGCTCTCAAACGCCTTTATGAGGCCAAAGGTTTTGAACCTCACCTTCTGCGTGACGTTCGGCGTCGACTCGGGACAAAATCTGCATGTGAGCTTGTCATGCTGTCTCTTCTTGTGCATGCTTTGGACAGTTGTTGATGCATTGTGCTTTGTTTGCATGTAGCTGGCTCAGTGGTGGATATTTTGGTCAACGGCGCTGCAAGTACTTCTTCATCGATACGATCAAGTTGTTGGCCTTCGCAGTTCCTCTCAATGGTCAGTGTACGAAGTAAAGTCAGATCATCGACGCCGTATGTTCAAAGGAAAGTGGCGCCGTCAAACCAAGATTCCTAGGATTTTTCGTGAACAAGATCTCCGGCACCTTCTGGACTTTGTCATTGACAACAGTCACTTGCCGCCCCACCGTTGTGCAATTTGGTTGCTACGGTTGAGGATTTCTTCTGGCACCAAACAATGAGTTCTCTGCGGTTTTGCATGCCCGACATTGGTGTGATCTGGCATGAGCGCTACGTCGACAATCGTTTCATTCTCCTTCGAGATTTTCTTTCCCTGGAATTTTATCGCCCACCAGTGATGCTCGAGGTTCAACATGATGACAAAGTGCTGGGTTATCGATGTGACTCTTCCTCCCGGACTATTACACCACAGCTACCTGATCATCCCTCCCAAATCAAAGGAATTCGGAGTGCCAATGATCAATGATCATCATACGCGGTGCACAACCGGCGGTTCAGCAGCAGCATGGGCTCGACGCTCTCAAACGCCTTTATGAGGCCAAAGGTTTTGAACCTCACCTTCTGCGTGACGTTCGGCGTCGACTCGGGACAAAATCTGCATGTGAGCTTGTCATGCTGTCTCTTCTTGTGCATGCTTGGGACAGTTGTTGATGCATTGTGCTTTGTTTGCATGTAGCTGGCTCAGTGGTGGATATTTTGGTCAAAGGCGCTGCAAGTGCTTCTTCATCGATACGATCAAGTTGTTGGCCTTCGCAGTTCCTCTCAATGGTCAGTGTACGAAGTAAAGTCAGATCATCGACGCCGTATGTTCAAAGGAAAGTGGCGCCGTCAAACCAAGATTCCTAGGATTTTTCGTGAACAAGATCTCCGGCACCTTCTGGACTTTGTCATTGACAACAGTCACTTCGAGATCAATGGATACTTGTTCCGCCAAGAACGAGGAGTCGCTATGGGATCACCAGCCGCCCCACCGTTGTGCAATTTGGTTGCTACGGTTGAAGATTTCTTCTGGCACCAAACAATGAGTTCTCTGCGGTTTTGCATGCCCGACATTGGTGTGATCTGGCATGAGCGCTACGTCGACAATCGTTTCATTCTCCTTCGAGATTCAGCCCCACACTCGCCCGTGCTCATGAATTTTCTTTCCCTGGAATTTTATCGCCCACCAGTGATGCTCGAGGTTCAACATGATGACAAAGTGCTGGGTTATCGATGTGACTCTTCCTCCCGGACTATTACACCACAGCTACCTGATCATCCCTCCCAAATC